ACACTTTAAAGACACTCTACAATGAGAATCAAGTTCCTAACCTTGCTAACATGCCTGATTGTTGGTTTTATTACACTACTAGAAGCTATTATGAGCTAACATGAGTTAACACAAGGGTTAGCACATCCACCTTAGAGTGATAGAAGATTTAGTTTAATGCCATGTCAGCAACAATGGCTATATAATGGCAATAAAGTGTAATAAACATACAAAGCTGATGTAAAGCTGAAGTCTGCATAGTTTAAATATAAAAAAGTGCTTACTGGCTGACTTTGTGGTAAAGGTTGGCAATTCCCTGATGTGTCCAGTCTTTCCCAAGGGTGGGCAGGATGTGACCCAACGTGTCTGATCTGAAGACGAAAAAAAAGCGAGTGAGTTTGAACGTCAAACGTCCTGTTCATCAACGTGAACCGTAGCTCCGCTCTCACACCTGGTGATGGTTCCGTCGATGTCAGAGATGACGATCTTGTCATCCCAGTTCCAGAGGTAGATGGTTCCCTGACAGCGGCAGGTTCCCTGATACTGAGTGGTCACACTGAACACCACGTCATTGGGGCCGTCCTGCAGCTGAAGGGACAGCTGTGGGGACGAGAAAAAAAGAAGAGGAGGGGAGAGAATGCATTAAAAAAATTCACAGTGAGAAAAACTTGTGGCTGAACTTGTGTCCTCACCAGCTGCTCCGAGGTCAGGCGGAGTGTTTTCTTGTAAGAGACGCCTCCTGATGGGAGTCCAGGCTCGGACTGGAGCATCAGAGAGCTCTGCTTGGCTGCAAGGTGGTCTTCGTCACTGGAAGACGACTCTTCTTTATGTCTGGAATCCGACATGTCAGTGAAATGTATCTGATGAACATAAATGACTCAACAAAGATGTTAAGAACGAAAATTTCCCACCTGATTTCCATGAGCCCAGCCTGTTGATCAGAACCACAAGCTCCACCTTCGGCTACCGAATCCTAAAACAAAAGTAAATGTCGAACAAATAAAAATGGGGGAACAATAATTGCAAAGACAGCACTGGTAGAAAAAGCAGAACCTACTGATTTGATGTTTCTGCCCCTCCAGAACCACCACCTTCCTCCTTTCTTGGGCATCTTCTCCGTCATAATCTTCTCCACTGTGGCCTAAAGAGGAACACGTATAACCCAAATAAMCACAACACAGACACCATTAACAAAACGTGAAAAAAATAAGGCCAAACAAGACTATACATCAACAAACAACACAGAAATGAAACTTCTCTGGTAGAATGGTGAAAAGAAGGAGGCACGGTGAGAGGGTGTGTAAGGCAGGCAGGGAAATAAAGAATGTAGGATGAAAAACTTATAAAGTGTTGTTTTTTTCTGACATACAGAGCTGTAGTCCAGGACACCAGCCAGACAGCAAAACAGGAACTTTGAGAATGAGTGTAAATAACTAAAGCAGGAGGACTAATTTTTTAACGAGGTAAAGTGAYGAAAAAAAGAGGAGAAAACACAGAGAAAGATGTTTAAGTTGACGCGAGACACGATGCAGTATTACTTCCTGTCAGGAGGGGGCGCAGTTAACTTGTAATAGATCAATTTACTGAGTCATTAGTATGAGTGTGCCATCAGCCTTTACCTTTGGCAGGGGTTTCTGAAAGACTTGCATAGCGAGCACAAGTGGAGCCGCAGTGCTCCAGTTAAAGTACCTGACGGAAATAACAAAATAGCTTTAAAAAATGCGATCAAAGATACATTTTATTTGCAAATAACTGTTTATTCAGATTAGGATTTATGCTTATAATGCATTATATGAATGCCTTACTTTGAGCCAATTTTCACAACTAAGTTAGGGTCGTCGATGATGGAGGGGTTTTCTGTAAACTGCTGATAAGAAATGATCTTCTCGTTAAAATGCTCTGTAAAAAAAAAAGCACGTTAAGTTCCCTTTACAGGACATCCTGGASTTGTCCGGTGTCACCTGTCAGCATACCTGCGGTGATCCCCTTGTTGTCGGTGAGCCCCCCACACAGGGAGACGGCGATAGATGGGAGGTCAGACATGGGGTCACAGTAGCTGTCCACGCCGCTGTCCCCTCCCGAGCTGACGGACTGTGGGGACTGACTGGTGCTGTGGGGCCCCGGGTCGGAGATGCTTCTCAMAGTTGAACTGCTGTCACTGTCAGGGGAGGAGGAAGTGGAAATGCAAAAGCATATGAGCGCCAAAGCAAAAACAAAGCAGTAATACACAACTGATTTTGGCAACACTAATAACGCATTTACACGTGTTCCTATTATCACACAGCCTTATCCTTAACGCAGGCAGCCTGTTTGCATCTGTCTGCTCGTGTACCTTTTAGGGAAATACAGCGCAGCCACCTCAGGCTCCAGTTCTGTAATATCATCCAGGTAGATTCCATCAGAACCAAGATGACGGCTCCTTTTGTCTGCGGCAGGAAAAAATAAATGCACAGCTGAAATTAACTCTTACGTTTCTGATTTTTGATTTGTTCCCTCAGTTATTGATGAGAAAATAATTCTGTTAGTTTATGTGTCAAACTCAAGGCCCACCTGCAATGGCATTTTCTGTGGCCCGTGTGAGCTTCAAAGAGCTTCATAATGTCTCTGAATTAAAGCCAGCRTTGACCATGAACTACATCTCCCATAATGCATGCTGACTAGTTTCTCAGCAAAAGGACAGCATCCCTCCACTAGGTGTAGGTGCACAGGGTTCAAAAGTAGCCAGAAAAATTTAGCCGCGTAAAATCTCCATTTTGCMGGCTACTTTTGCTGTTGCTGAGTTGTACTGGGAAGTGGGAATTYCCCCAGTTATAAGTCCCTAAATTTAAACTGGATTGCCCCTCCAGTGGGAATTCCCTGTTGGAAAGTGGGAGAGTTCCAAAYTCAAGATGGCAGCTAAACACAACTCAACAGTGAGCAAAACTYTCTTACATACAACACGTAGTAGTTTTCAGTGTTTATAAGAGGGCGCGTTWAAAACGCTGTTTCTATGCACGAAATACCACATCRAGCTCAGTTATTGTTTGTTAGTGGTGCTCAGCYGAAGCAATGAGACGAGGAACTGTTTCCTGTTTAGTCGGTTAAACATGAAAATGGAAGTTCACTTGTTTTTTTGTTTGTTTGKTTTTTTCTTTTTTYTYTTYTTTTTGGCTTTTGCATGTCCTMACATTAAATGTAATACATTTAGTCTAAAACAAAAAAAAACCTTCTTTACCCAATTTTCTTAAGTCTAACTGCCTGCASTTCTAGAAAATGAGAACYATAATGCTCATGTGGCCCTCTTTGAAAATGACTCCTTTGAAACTTCCTGTTTCACCCTCCTCATTGTGAATTTCATTTATTTCATCAGGGGAGCTTCCTTTCTTACAGGCACCCAACAAACCTCACCTTTTCTCTTACACGGAGAGTCTGTCTTCCCGTGAGGACGAGGCGCCGTCTCCTCCGCGTCCGCCACCGCCTGCGTCTCTGTGGTTACCGTCTGAGTTTTCCCCTCCGTGGATTCGAACTCCATCCCCGCCGTTTCCTCCTCCGTCGGCAGCCGGGGTGCAGGTATCTCGTGGGGTATGACGCGGAAGTGTGTTTTCTTAGTCACGGGGATGGATAAATGACAAACAGGCTGTGGGCTGGGCTTCAGAGGGAGGAAAGAAGGCTGAAAAAGACGAGAAGACGCGTGTTTTTTAGGAAACTCTTTACGGTTGTTTTCAGACGCGTCACAGGTGGACGTCTCTTTACCGTGGCGGCGTGCGGCAGCTCTCCCCACGCCCAGAGCATGGCAGGATTCTGATTGTCTGCGTCCGACAGATTAGTGATCAGTTCTGAGTCGCTCTTCGGTGAGGAGGGGCGAGAGTTGCCAGGGCTGAGAGAGGGAGGAGAAAAAAAATGATACTACCAAAATAAAAAAATAAAATCTTATTTCAGAATAAGCGGGTTTCGTTGTGAGCTAAGCACCTCTGGACTGGGCTCCATCCTCCATCGGAACGAGCGTAGACCCCACCCTGTTTGAAAGAACCGCCGCTGGTAGCAGCTGTTGTCTCGTCTCCTAAAATATCTCGAGAAGACAACCTGAAACGTAAAACATAGAAGAAAGCTGTTTGAAATTTATATATATATATATTTGTAAATAGGAGCAGATATCATAAGATTTTTTTCTTCTTCTGCTGCCTTTCATTTTGTTTGATTTGCATTGTTTTGTTGTATGTAATGTGTTTTTTTTAATGAAATGAATAAATATTATTATTAGTAAACTCATGTTTAGCTTTGTGCAATGTGTTGTGGTGGCGACTTTTTCTAAAATCCTGTCGGGCAGACAGCGTTTCTAAATAGACTGAACACATGTTTGCCTTGAAATTCTGTGAAGAGATAGTCTACTACCCCAACCCCAACAAAAAATAAAAAAAATAAAATAATAATAATGTTTTTTTTTAATAT